ATTATAAGCATGACGTTTGCAAAATTGGAACCTAAGTTACTTGGCAAAGTTCGCTGCTTTGTGAGTTTCTGGAACTTTCTGCCTGACAGCGATTCGAAGGTGGCTCGCCTCCATAGTAATTTGCTTCCTTTGAGGTTGTACCAGGCGCACTTTAAACCGGGTGAGAAGTTGCAAGACAACTTTCCATCAGCAACGCTATTGGTACCAACTGAAAGCAAAACAGTTATACGAGTATTATCCTAGTAGACTTACCATAGTCTGAATGAATCATTTCTCCAAAATGCTTGTCCACCTCATTTTCTCCTAAATAAACATGACGAGGTAAGCGGACTTCAAAGAGTCAAAAGTTTATGCATCCGTAATGGAAAGATATGGAAGTTCATTTGTCATGCAAAGGCGTGCAAAACCTCAATTTTCCTCGAATATTTTTTATCAGGAAAGAATCGTATTTATGTCATTCTTTTCTCGTTAAATAAATCATCCGCTAGTCGTCCACTCTCTCTCACTGATTAAATTATTTATTCATTTGTTCGCTGATTAGTTCATAAACTCGTACACTCCTTCATTCAAGCAGTTACTTAGTCAATCAATCAGCCGTTCATTTGCCCGTTCGTTAGTTCATTCACCCATTAATTTATTCATTCATCATTGATAAAATAATGCATTACACACACATGGCATTTTTTAACTTTTGAAAGGGATAGCATCACAAAATATTGTCCATTGTTTGAGCCATTTGGCCATTCGCCTGAGAATTAGAAGTTTCCATATGATTTTTGAAAGAGAGTGTGCTTGAGAGCAGTTTTTTTCCATATTTTGATCTTATTCTTGGAACAGCATTTACTCAATGTGATAAGAGTGATAAGGACACAGTGCAAAGTACCACCCTCTTCTTCTTCATCTTCCATCGCCGCTGCTCCTTTCTGGTAGTGGAACAGATATGTCAGACAGAGCTTCCAACGTTCCCGATCCTGTGCCAGAGTTTGAGCTTCGATAGAACACAACTGGAATCTGGAACGCACTCATTCCATATATTTACACAAGGTTAATCTTGGCCGTCCTCTGGATCTTCTGCCGGTCGTATTTGCAAGGAACATTTGCTTAGCTTTCCTTTCTGGAGGCATTCGCAACACATGCCCATGTGAAAAGTACCATTTGTTTTATAAACCATGTTAAGATAAAGAACAGACTTCGAGTAGTTGCCTAGAGTTGTTCGGCGATGTCGTCCTTTTGCAGAGCAGCGGTAGGAAGCCACACGGCTTCAAGTATTTAAATAGACTCGCTGCTGGTCGCGATTGTGATGGTCCTTTCTGATTTCATTTTATATCTATCACGCTCGTGTAATAATTTATTAAGCCTCAAGAAATCTTGATTAAAATTTGCGAAGTCTGTTAATAATTCGTTGACTGCTTCAATACCGAAATCATCTAAAGTACTGACAAATGTTCGAGGTAAAAATAAAATCTCTGAAATGAACAAGTCGACTGCTTCATGAAAAGCAGGCAATGACTGTAGTAAGCGTACACCTGAAGAAGTGTAACAGGTAAGCTGTTTCCTGTTTATCTTCCGACGTGGTTGAATGTCTTTCATGAACCGTGAAACGTTTTATCAAACGGATTTTGACGAAAAACTCATAAGGCATTTGGCACTGTTCCATTTTTCCAGGTTCGTTCCATTGTGACCTCCCTTCTGCGCCCGCAAGGGCCTCTGCACAAAATTAGGGGCCGTAGTTGCTTCCGCAAATGCATCAAATAATCATAGATGACATGCGGGTTGATACTATAATTGCTTGTACAGATAGAGGGACGGGACAACTGCTAGCAGCAACTTCTTTCGAAACTGAAAGTCGCGAAATTTCCTTTGTTGCCTTCGCAAGTGTGCAGAAATGGTTTTACTTTAGACCCCTCACCATTGGCCATACGAGTCATTGTTTTACTGTGCGAACCAGGCACATTCTATACCATTTATTACTTAACTATTTAGCACCTTAAATATTAATATTTTATCTGACTGTCTTGATTGTAGACGTGCCACGAATGCAAATCGACGCTCCACGAATCTTCTCCTTTCCTGAGACGAGTCGAGTAGTTGTTCGATAGCCAATTCAGGATTTCTACCTTGGGAACTATTGAGGGTATCTCTTGAACCTTCACCGAGCTAATCAAGTTCATGAAAACGGAGCACCTTGTTAAAGGATATGTGGAAAGATATCAGTGCCCAAGGACGTAAACACCGTTTCAGCTTATTGGAACGGACTCCAACACCATTTACAGGACTTCCGTTTATTACTAGTAGATTGAACAAACCGAGTAGCCAACATTAACAAATGTAAATGACGTCCAGAGAAGAGTAGGGAAGTCCTGAGTTTCTTTAACAGTAGATAGTGACCCAGTTTTTGTTGAGATGTAGGACGTGGAGTCGGCCACCACCAGCAGCAGCAGCAGTTATTACAAGGCCATATTGTGTTGCCATATTATACATCAACTTGTAACTTGTTTATTAAACGCTGTTTATTACATATTGATTTAGCCATATAGACAATGTCTTGGCAAATGAGCGAATGAATGAAAAAGATAGTGTCCTTTTTTGGTTTGTAAATAGCCGCAATTTAAGACACGAGGCATTTGGATTCTTCAGTTAAATTGATCATTCCTATGGTAATTGAAGTTCGCATCGTAAACAGCACAAACAGGTTAGAATAAAATTAGTGTAATCGTTAGTGTCACTAGAAAATCGCAGTTGTCAACAGTCAGTGAATGATCGCATTGAGGGTTTGTGTAGCTGAGATCAGAAATGCGCTGGAAAATGTTGAACATGCTGCGCCTTCTTCTGGGACTTGCCATCGTTGGTAAGTAATTGAGGAATTTCATCTAAGTATGATGTAGCGATGGAACAGTGGTCAGTAGGGTGCTAGAGAAGTAATCGAGAGATCAGAGAATCGATTCTCTTTGACTAAATTAGGTATGTCCTCCTTCAGGATATAAGAATAAATGAAGGCCATTACATAAGAGGGACAAAAAATGGCCGTGCAGCTTTGTTGTGCAAAAAACAGTCTTTTGACAGCTAAAAAGTTTTTTTTTAATATGACTTCCATGGATGATTCCACATACGATCAGAGGTCAGTGCCGTTTCATAAGCTCGGTGAAGGAATTCTACTATGGCACCCATGTTTCTGCCGTGGGGTCAACATCTCAACGGTTATATGATGATTGCCATCGTCTGGTGCCCGTTCTACTGGTAAAAGTGACTCGTCAGTTCAACTACTTGCAGATACAGTACGACGCTTCTAAATTTCAACTTTTTAGGTGAGTAGGGAATTCGGCCCAGAGTTTGGCCTTGGCTTCATCAGAATACACCTTGGTCAGTTGAATTTGTAAGGTCGATTCCTCGGCGTCGTTGTTGATGAACACGTGATTGTAATGGCAGAGAGTGAGGTTACGTGAGTGTGTATGTAACATAACCAGTGAGCAAACAATGAAACTATGACCAGCCGATACCCTTCTGCCCAGGCAACCAGAATCAAGGCAGCTAAATACACTGCGAGATCTGGTCAAGGAGAAGTTATGTTGTAATAGTTGTAGAAATGTACCACAAATTGCTCGGAACTGCTGAAAGCGTAGGGACTTGACGTATCCTTTCTTTGCTAAATGCAATAAACTGAAACCAATAATGAAATCAATTTTAACACCAGCATAATGTGATTCATCGCTATAGGAAGTTACACTGGAGCGCTGCCCATATATAGATGTGGGACCAGAAGAGGTGAATATGAGGGTAAGTTCAAAAGCAACGATTAACTCGTTCGTCTCTGCAGCTCGACAGTTGTTGGAAACTGCCATGGTTATCAATTATGATCCAAGCGAACCCTGTCCGAAGGTCATCGCTCCGGTGGATGTCGGGACAAACATCGCCCTTGGCAAAATGTTTGGCTTTGAGGGCTTCGTCAGAGGATACACTCCGAAGCGAGGCGCTTTTGGCACCAACGCCAATTTGCAACTGGCGCTGCACAACCTCGCGCTAGACGCTGGTGGTTGGCAAGCAGTCGTCGAAAACAGGGCAACGGGTTGTTCACCGTAACCAGAGGAAGTGTTTTTTGTCGTTAAAATAAATGGCTTACTTCTCAGGTGTCGAAAACCGTGTTTCATTAGAATCTTCATGTCTTGAGTAAAACTGGAAGCTGAGGAAGGCACGATGGCTACTTTGATCTGCGCAAACGGCCGATAATATAAAATATGTCGGTCAATGTGGTCAGCTTTCTTTCGACTGTTACCACAACCAGAAAGAAACAGCCATAATTACTAGGAGGTAATTGTTTAACTGGTTCACGATCAGATAGAAGTATTTATTTCTAGAATCCGGTTACCTGCTCCCTGGCGATCATGGAGAAACCCTCTGCTCTTCATGTCCACTTTTTATCCTGCAGATGACAAGCGATGTAAAGAGGGCAGTTTCTGTGTAATGCACAGGTGTCGTTGCATTTTAATCGTTAACGAAAGCTAACAGAGTTAAAACAACACAATCACTGAGATTTATCATGTCTGACCGTTTGAAATGGTAGTTCACGTGACAAAGACAGCATTCAAGAGGTCACTTGAAGCTTTCTATATGAAAGCGGTATGAAGAACCACGCAAGGCACCAGGGGGGGGGACAGCACAAAAATGGCTAAAGCGAAACCTGATTCCTAGGACAGGTTCTATAAGGAACTGGAATCGAATTTAAAGACGGCAAACCAGGTATTCTGGAACACCACTGCCGAGATAGAAACAAGAACGGTGTGAGATTGCCGAAGGACAAGTTCTAACGCGCTCTTACTTGTAAAGAACATGTTTCAGTGACGGCGAGAGTACCTTGAAGTACTTCTTACTACAGCAACCGGAGGAAAACTCTTCTGAAGAGCAGCAGTCGACGGATATCAGTCTTTCAGTACATGAAGCTGTAAAACGATCGAAAATTGACACGACTGTAAGAATCGAGTGACTCCGCCCTGAAATGCTTAAAGCTTCAGGCGAAGAGAGCATGTTGTATCTCACGCGTGTCTATGACACTGCAATGACTACGGAAAAGTCACTGGCAAAAGGTGGTGGTACCCCAGTTCAAAAAGCAAAACCGTAGGGACTGTACCATTCATTTACCTGGAATCGTCTTATTGAGCCACCTGGGAAAATTCTACGTAAAAGCAAGCGCTGGAAAGGAGTAACTGCAGAGTAAGCGACTTTAGATGCAGAAACATCGATGTGGCTTCTGGTCAGGCTGAAGCACCTACGAGTAGATGTTCCGCCGGATTGTTGAGAAATCCTGGGAGTTAATCTATCCGGTACACTTGTACTTTGTTGACTTGGAGAAAGAAACTGTGGGCGTGACTCCTGACATATAGGCGTGCCAGCTACGGAATGGGATGATTCGGTTTCGATCGATAGTCGTTGTCAACGTGCAGTCCTGTGGCGGGAGTTTGACTCTATATGATGGACTGCTGTCATCTCGTTCAACCCCC